GGGGGTGTGGGGAGGGAAGGCGGGGATCAAAGAGGAGGAAAAAAAAAGTGAGAAAGCATAAAGCATGTTTGGAAGAGAACAACACTGAAGGTGTGGCCAAGCAACTCTTTGATAAGATTAATGTGGGTGTAAAACAAGGATTTAACCAACCATCTTAACGAAAGCTAGGAATAGAGATGGGATTGCCCATCTAGGCAGAGCTAGCTAAGACTAAAGGAAACAAAAGGAAACAAAAAATGGGGTAAAATGAAGGAAGACCGTTGGATTTCTTAGACGGCACAGGACAGGACCGTCACCATTCTGGCTGTGATCACACACTGTTCTTTAAGACAAGGGAGGAAGGACCCTCAAAGGTAATTCAGTGATGGTCAGGACTGCCACCTCAGGCCCAGAGGCCCAGCCCTTGGGGGAAGGGCTGCCTCCACTTCCATTTCAAAGGGTGAGATCAATGCCTGGCAGAGACCTGGTGCCCTGGAGAGCTCTCTGTCTCTCTCTGCCGTGTGAAGATACAATGAGAAGATGGCGGTCTCCCCAGACCTCTCCCATGCTGGCACCCTGATCTTGGACTTCCAGCTTCCAGAGATGTGTGAAATAAATTTCTATTGTTCATAAGCCACCCAGTCTACGCTACTGTGTTATAGTAGCCCTAACTAAGACACCCTCCCAACTTTTCCTAAGATCTAACAGATTGGAAGAAAATGATCAAATTACCTTATATATGGTGCATGCTTCACACCAGGTTTCCTGGATAAAAGAAGACATAGAAGCTCAGGTTAAAGCACAGTCATTTGTGCACAGTTTAATCTCACCAGTGACAAAGTTTTTGTTAGGTCTATCGATGAACAATTAATTACCCAGAGATAAACTTTACCTTTCAGCTGAATTTAATGGGAAAATTTTGTCATCTTCCACAGCTATAAAGTATCTGTGAAGAAATAACAATAAAAGTTTATAAAACAAAGACATTTTTTTAAAAAAGAATTATTCGTTTCCCAGTTTTATTAGACTAATCGCATTAAATCCTATTAATTTTCTTCCTAATCAGGAATATGCTCTTTTGCTGCAGTGCTTTGTCTATAGATAATCCAGCTTTTTGAAGCTCAAATGTCATTATTAATAATATTTCTTCAATTTTCAAAACATCCCTCAAATTAATGGCAATCTTTATAATCTAAAAACTAGAAAACAAAGAAATAAGATTTTACAACTTTGGGCAAACTGAAATCTGAACTAAAAATCTCTAATTTCTCAAGGACATGTGTCCACCTTTCTTAATGAACTGCAAGGAACTAAAATAATTTTCTACAAGCAAATAGTACTTGAAATAAGCACATATGAGAATGTTTTGTGATAAGCCAAGACTTCCAATGTAATGATATCCATTTTATAAACATAGCAGACCTAGTCACACACACAAGAGAAAAAAACCTATGAATGGAATCCTTATGAATGGAATCCTTAGCATGGTGGTGTCAAATTAGCAAATCTTGCAAATAATGAACCCATACCACCAGTTTATAGAATATTCATTACTGAAAGAACACAGGAACACAAAATAAATCTAGTATTCTTCACTACCTGCTTTGCATAATTTATTACTCGCTCTCGTTATTTACTTAGGGTAGTAGAAGAAGAGAAGAAATGGGGACTTTAGCAAGGTTGAATTCATAAACATTATTTTAAAAGTACTTATAAATACAGTCACATAGACATGCCAGGTACTATCAAAACTTTACATTTTTATCTACATTGAACCTCTGTCCTTAAATAATTAAATAAGAGCGTACTCACACTATCCACAATCCAGCTGAAGTAAACAGAGTAAATACAAGAGGTAAAAACATCCATACGCTGCATTTCTTCCCATCCATGCCTGTACCCCTGAAATAAAATGAACAGGTATTGGTAACAAAGTCAAAAATTTACTTCACTCTTTCAAGACAGAAAGGAAGTCTAGTTGAAAAAGAGTGCATTTTATGAAACCATGATTCAAATCAGTATCATTACTGACACCTACACATGTGGGAAATCTTTGAGCAGGTAACGTGGACAACTGCCATCTAGCATTAGTTCAAATATTCCAGAATCCTAGTTAAGAACTGATGGAAAATTTCTCATAATGACATTTAGTCTAATGCAAGCATCGATGTATTTAAGAAAGGACAAAAGGGTTTGGGTTAGGATTTTGAGAAGAGCTAGATTACAGAGGCAAATGCCAAACTACTTTTAGTGCTTTTATAAATATTTATAGATTTATAGATCTATGGATCCAGCATGTACCTATGTCTACAGCTTGGCAGACAAGAATGTTAGAAACAAATGGTTACTAAATAAATTAGCAACACAGGAGGAAATGGCAAATGCTTGGCAGATCTGAACTTTTCTCATGACATCTTATTGAGCAACTATCTCAGAAGACTCTAAAATGAATGCCCTGGAAAACAATGTGTCATGTATACCTTTAAATTAGCTCCAACAAAAGCACAATGGAAAAAAAAAACAACAAAAAACCAGATGTCAAGCATTTTGGATGTTATATGTGAAAGCAAAATTACATAAAAATTTTCCACCAAAATAAAGTGAAAAGTAGAAACTTCAGAAGTGAAAAATTATTGGTACAGAAAGAAATAACTATCACTTCACTTCTTTACCCCATACCATCATACGAAATCTTTTTGAGACACTGGATGCCAACAATCCTTTAGGCAAAAAAATACCTGTTCCATGAAAATAAAGTACCGTGGTGACCTCCACAGGTGACCTGACAAGTAGAAGGATATGGGATTAAATGGCACCTCGAGGTAGAAATCGCTGCTCATTGATTTGGGTTTTAAAATTATCTGCAAAAAGTTGTTTATTGCGTTTGAACCAGCACTGTCACATTTCTGAGCACCTCCGTGATATCTGCTTTCATATTGCTGACATTCCTTGGACTTTCCAAGAGTTGAGAACAGAGAACAGGCCCTTCCTTTAGCATGGTAGTCTGAAAGGTTATCAGGAAGGTCTCAGTTCCCTGATTAGGTAGATCTTTCAGGCCTGGGGACAGACACTTTGACCTAATAATGTGTCTTAGAAAAGTCATGCTATAGTCTAAACACCTATCCGGGTAGGGGTATTAAATAAATGACAGACTCTGGAAGTTGAAAGATATTAGAGACACTTTAAGTAAATTTAATCCAATCTAACCCAATCTAATCCAATCCAATTCAAAAGTATTGACACCCACTTGTGCCAGGTACTATATCAGATGGTAGAAATACTGAGGTGAGGTCTAATCAATACAACTATCTTTATATAACAGCTTATACAAAATAAAAAAGCTATTGTATGAACCAGTGGTACATACTCATTCAGCTTATATAGTATGGGAGAATGATGAGTATTTTAAGCATACAAAATTTGGTTAGTCAGTGTCCATTTATTTATGTCCAGAAAACTGTGGGCTCATAATAAAGCTATCAATTATGCTAACAAAAATAATTCCATTAGTAGCTAAGTTGTAGAAGGAGTACAGAAAATAAAATAGGGATGTTGAGCATGTGAATCAAATTATTCTAGCTCTGCCCCTGAAATAGGCTGCAGGATGAGTATAGCCGAAATGGTTTCACTGGAATAAGAGTCAGGAGACCTAGTTCTCAACCTTAGCTTTGCCAATAACTGACTCCATGGGCTTGGACCAGTTACTTAAAGCTATAACACCATTCTCCTATCTTGCTATCTGAAGATTGCTGAATTTGAAGAGAAAAAGAAGGACATCAAAGACTGAGGCCCTACGGGGTTAAACCAACTCAGAAGTACCAGCCCCAGAAGCACTCAGGACTATTAGCCATTTTAAAAATAGACTGGTGAATAAGTCATAATGCCAACTTATTCATGTACACAGAGAAACACAACTGCCAAATGAATAAATACTCACATTGACTCCCCTTTTAGGAATGTCTACATGGGAAATCAAAATTTGGAAGCAGGAAAGTAGAGTGAAAAGAGTTGACAGGATAATTCTAAGACCATGCCCTCAAGCTTCAATAGCTCTACGTGCTAATATCCTTTAAAGAAAGGTAGTTAGTGGAAACAGTATGGCAAATAGTAATGGAAATAGTATGGTATAATGGAAATAGTATGGCAATGCATAGGACTGAAACCCAGTTCTGCCACTCACCAAGCTGTCTGATGCCTGGCAAGTTATTTCATATCTTAAGCCTTAGTGTAATTATGGAGGTAACTTCTATTCTGTAGGGTTGTGTTAAGGATTAATGCTGATGCAAGTAAAGCACATCACACGTAATACATGTTCTGTAAGTGGCAGCTGTGCCAACTCTAACTGCCAATGAGATCAATGCTTGTGCTAGAACAACATACTCTCCCTCCAAAGCAGGGCTCAGGACAGCTTAACTCTTTCTTCTCAGGGCTCCTGCATTTCTAGAAGGATGCAGATGCCCTTCCTGATAGGAACAGTTTCTTTCTTCAGATGGCTCTCCAAAAACAATAATTAATACCTTAACCATGCACACATATTGAAGGCCTACTTTCCTGAGATTCTAGTCTTTGGTTATCTTTCACTATATATTGCTTTTCTTATTTTGTTGTGGAAGCATCTAAGGTGGCTAACGGCTATTCTCCTAAATTATTTTATTTTTACTAGTTTAATTCTCATAGGGCAATCCAAATTCTGGGAAAATCATACTGTATTCCTTGACTAATGATAGATGAAACTGCCTTTTCTTAACTCAAAGGGATGCCTTGGGAAGTGAAAAGAATTAAGTCTATAGATAGCTGTATTATTAGCTTCCAGTGGAACTACTTTGGTGCTTCTTCGGGGTTTTTACATTGGTTAAGCCCTTTTCATGGGGACATAATCACAAATTCACATGTTGTTGTAAGAAATAATACAGAGAGGTGCTGTATATCCTTCAATCCATCTCCCCACAGGTAACATCCTGTATAACCGTGATATAATATCAACAGGACACTGACATTGATACAATCCTTTGACTTCATTCCGATTTCATCAGTTTTACATGCACTCCCTTCTGTGTGTGCATTTAGTTTTATGCAGTTTTGCCACATGTGTAGATTTGTGTGATCACTACCACAGTCAAGGCACAGAACACACAGACGTTCCCAAAAGGGGAACCCATGGGAGGTGAGTTCCACCACCACAAAGGGCTCCCGTGTTGCCCTTTTATAACCACACCTACTTCCCACTCCCGAACCGTCCTTTCTAATCTCTGGCGACCACTAATCCTTTCTTCAGTTCTATAATTGTGTCATCTCGAGAATGTTATACAAATGGAATCATAGAGTATGTAACCTTTGGGGTTGACTTTTTTTATGAAGCATTCACCTAAGAATTCCTTGGAGATTCAACACAGGTTTGTGTTCGTCAGTAGTATGATACCTTTTATTTTTGGGTGGTATTCCATGGTATGGATGTACCCAGTTTGTGTATTTACCAATTACAGGATATCTAAATTGTTCCAAGTTTTTGGCTATTGCAAATAAAGAAAGCTATGAATATTAGTGTACAGATGTTTGTGTGGACATAGTTTTTATTTCTCTGGAATAAATTCCCAAGTTTGCAGTCATATGTAATTGCATGTTTAGTTATGAAAGAACCAGACAAGCTGTTTTTCTGAGTAGCTGTACCATTTTACATTCCTACCAGTAAGGTAGGATTGATTCAGTTTCTTCACATCTATTATCACTATTGGTGATATCACTATTTGGTGATAAGTAATTTTGTTATCGCTAAGTAATTGGTGTTAATTGGTGATAATTGGTGTTATCATTATTTATGTTAGCCATTCTGATAGGTATGTAGTGATACAACATCTGATATAATTTAATTTGCATTGCCCTGATGGTTAGTGATATTGAACATCTTTTCATGTGCTTATTTGCCATCTGTATATCCTCTTCGGTAAAATGTCTGTATATGTCTTTTACCCATTTTCAATTCAATTTTGTTTTCATGGTTGAGAACAAAGAGCAGTTCGAGAGTGTTTCATATATTCTAGATAGCAGTCCTTTTTCAGATGTGTGGTTTGCAAATATTTCCTCGTCTGTAGCTTTATCCTCTTAACAGGGTCTTTTTAAACAAAATTATTTTTATTTATTTATTTTTGTGTGAGGTATAATATATATAACATAAAATTTTTACCATTTTAACCATTTCAAGTGTACAATTCACTAGTATTAAGTACATTCATATCATTGTGTGACCATCACAAGTATCCATCTCCAGAACTTTTCATCATTCCAAACTGTGCTCATTAAACAGTAACTCTCCATTCCCTCCTCCCCTTAGCCCCTGGCAACCGCCATTCTACTTTCTATATCTATGAATTTGACTACTCTAGGTACCTTAAATAAGTGAAGACATATAGTATTTGTCTTTTTGTGTCTGGCTTATTTCAGTAAGCATAATGTCTTCAATGTATTGTATATCACAATTTCATTTCTTTTTAAGGCTGAATAATATTCCATTGTATGTACACACCACATTTTGTTTATACATTCATTGGTCGATTGGTGATGATCTGAGTTGTTTTTACTTTTTGAATATTGTGCATAGTGCTGCTATGAACACAGGTGTGCAAGTTATCTGTTCAAGTTCCTGCTTTCAATTCTTTTAGGTATATTCCTAGGAGTGCAATTGCTAGTACTTGGAGGTCATATGGTAATTTTATGTTTACTCTTCTGAGGAACCATTATGGCAGCTGCACCATTTTATATTCCCACCAGCAATGCGCAAGAGTTCCAGCTCCACCATATCTTCACAAACACTTGCTTTTTAAAAATTTTTTATTTATTTTTACTTTTTTATTTTTTATAGTAGCCATCCTAATGAGTACAAAGTGGTATCTCATTTTGGGTTT